CGGGATAAAATACAGGCTATTATAATCATAACTAAGTGACGATGATGGATGTTGATTTGACATGGTAGTCAAACGACAGCAGTGGCAAGATGACGCATGTCCGATAACAATGGTTATATAGCGATAGTCCTACGATGGTGTTCTGAAGTAAAGGTTCAACCGTTCAAAGTTGGTTATTGAATGGTGGTGGTTTATTAATAATGATAGTCCGATGACAAAAGTTAGATGGTGATGGTTCTATAATAGTGGTCGGATGATGGTAATTTGGTGGCGACAATCGGGTGACGGTGGCCTAACAACATTAATCAGTTGACAATTGGATGGTGGTGGTAAGGTAGCAACGTATGGAGGGCGTTTATCAGGGTGGTAGCGGTTCGATGGTAGTGATCGCAAGGCAATTGTCTAACAACAGTGCTTATCAGATGACTCGTGATGATCCCCTTAATTATATATTTCTCTTTCAATACCTTAATTAATGTTATCAAAATCAAACAATATTTAACTTATTAGAAGGGTCTTTGATTTGATTATAATATATAAATATGCATGCTTTCAAAAATATTTGGTCATCCAAAAGTTTAAGCTTACATTTTAAGTGCTTTGATTTAAGCTCATTGCTCGAATTGGTTCAGTTTTTATATCGATAATTTCATCTCATCAAAAAAATCAGTTTAATTGCAATTTAATTAAAATAAGAGTTTTGGATTGTACTAATTTAATTTAAATTTTTTTAATTCAAATATTATTTAAATCAGATAAATTTTATAATGATCTATGAAATACAATATTGACTTACTGAGGAACTGTAGTGTGCGAAATACTCGTGCAACGCTAGGACGCGGATTTACAAACTCTACCGCCGCGTATATTCTCGCACGCAACAAAGCTCATTACTCGAATCGGTTCAGTTTTTATATCGATAATTTCATCTCATCAAAAAAATTCAGTTTAATTGTAATTTAATTAAAATAATTGTTTTGGATTGTACTAATTTAATTTATTTTTTTTTTTAATTCAAATATTATTTAAATCAGATAAATTTTATAATGACCTATAAAATACAATATTGACTTACTGAGGAACTGTATTGGAGCTCCGTATCTATTATCCATTATTTATAGATGCTAATTGTTGCGGGCTAGAATACACGCGACAATAGAGATAGAATTTTTCGTCTCAACGTTGTATGAATATCCAGCACATAAAGAGAATATGAAAGCACAGCATGATTTTTATGTGGAAAACCCTAAAAAGAGAAAATTCAAAGGGTCATGCTTAGCTGAAAAAGATTCCACTAATGTTTGAGTTGATTACAAGTGACTGATTCATATTTGAAATTAAGGACAATTAGATTACAATAGTGAAACATCTATTTATAAATGGAAGTCAGATAAAAGTCAAGCGTCGGTTGGTAAATGGGCAGAAATCTGGCGTCAGCCAACGACATGGTGAAAATCGAGCGTCAATTAGAAACCGACAGAAATCTGGCATCACTTGGAGGCTGGGCGAAAGTTTGGAGTTCGTTAGTGGCTGGGCAGAAGTCCAGCATCACTTGGCAGCCGGGCAAAAGTCTGGCGTTGGTCAGTGGCCAGGTGGAAGTCTGGTGGTGGTCGAGGAGTCGGGTAACAAGAAAGCTATCTTCTTTCTCTTCTTGATTGGGTCCCCCTCCATGAGAAATGAGTGATCTATTTATAATTTTATGAGAGTAGCATTGTCAGTAAATAGGAGGAAGATCAAGGATAAATTGAGAGTAGTTTTAATGAACGACCGATGTTGAATCCCTTAATCATGGACTGTTTACCGGGCATTTGAATGTCTTAACGATATCAGAATTTGACGATATTGGGCTCATTGGATTCATCTTGTCGAGCCGCTCGATTTGACTATAAGCATGTTACATTTGGAAGTAGTTTGGTAATCCAAATTATGGATTGAACCTTCCGAATAAGCTTCAAGTCTTTAATTTGGTCTTATTTCGGCTCGGCTTTCGTCGAATTTGGTGTCATTGGGTTTGTATTTTTGAGACGTTAAGTTCTAATGTAAATTTGCTAAAATTGGAATTCATATGATCTCCAATTTAATTTTGGAAGTTTTCAATTTAATTTTGGATCGATATTCCCGATCAAGAAAATTCTTTGGTGACACATCACTAATAATACTATTAAGCGTTTGTCTATAACAACCAATCCTGTTTTAATCAATAATAGTACCTGTGATATCGCTATTATAATCATTTTGTACAAATTATACACATGAATATATAAAATCATAAAAATAAAAGCCAGCTCCCAACATTTTTCTAAAAAATGATAATAAAAAACTAGTCTGTTAATTGATTCTTAAAGCGATCTTAAAAATTAGGAGCAAATCACGATGAAATTTCTGCATCTTATTACATTATGTTTATAAATCACGATGCTTAAATATTTAAATTTAATTTACTTCTTCCACGGCTAATGATTAAAATTTTAAAATTTTATAAATATTTTAATTCAGAAGTACAGCAACCATTCTGCTTCATAGTACGCAGAAAATACATTTTCGTCATCATCATTAATCAAAACCAGCGATAAACGTCGTTCAAGATGCAGCTAAAAATCCTTGAGAATCGCTCGAACCTGCTCAAGGGTAACGAAGAGGACGACGGTGAACGGTCCCTGGCGAGAAACAGTGGGAATAAACCCTTTATAAAGCGCCATAGGCCCTTCCGCCCTCATCGTCTTCAATGCGCAGTCGAGCGCTCCGGCATACGGCGGCGGCGCCCCCTTCTCAACCTTCATATTCATCACCCTCGTCTTCACCACATCCACCGGATTCGACGCTACCGCTGCCACCAATCCGGCGGTGAAGCTCGCCGCAACGTGTGTAGGCAACCCGTCGGGCATTAATCCTTTCCTCAATATAGCTTCCTTGGCCTGATCGTACGTTGCCAACTGCGACGCCGTCACAATCATCGCTCGATTCACCGTAAGAGCCGATCCCCGCCACAGGGATCTCACCCCCTCCCGCCGCACCATCTGACCCAAAGCATCGCCTACCCCTTTGTAGTTCCGGCGTTCCGCCATGGGG